AAACTATGTATAGCATAATTCTGCACAATTTATGCATAATTATGCATACGGGGTGTTCCACAGACCCCTTCCTTTGTTTTGCGTATACTGCAGCGCATGCAGGCGTGCGGGCGGGCTTGCCTATCGTCTTTCATCACGGTGCCTTACGGCCCCGTGTGAGTATACAACCCGCTCGCACGTCTGCATGCGGTCACCCGCCGATCGCCCTATACCTCTACGTGTGTGTTTGCTATGCACGCTGTTGTAACATTCGACCTGTTAGGCGTACACTTGCTTGTGCGTGCCTGCGGGCTCGCTGTCTTGTGTGTACGTGGTCGTTGGTCGTATGGTCGACCTTTGGGTTTACAAGTGTACGACCCACAGGTACACGTGATTATGGGTTGCACATGGACTTCAACATTATCCCTCCCCACGGAGTCACGGCCAGAGTTGTCATGCATTCGTCAGAGTACACATGGAGCACAAGATAAGTACATTTTGAGTATAGCTGATTATCACAACTAGGAGTGCGTTTTACACGAATTTGTAGGTACACACAGTGGTCTGTCATCGCCGTTTTCTTCCGGTTATACTGTACCGGACGATGGCGTGCGGGTGGGCTTGCCTAACATCGCTCTCCGATAGGCGCCTCAACAGCGCCGTGTGAGTATGCAACCCGTCCGCACACCTGCATCCTGTAAACCGGGAACAGCATGACTGCTCGGCAGCGTGCTCCGGTCGGACAAACAACCTTGGGCCAACAGTGGCCTCGTGGTTAGTCGAGTCAAGTTTCCCACAAGCTCTACCCACCCACCCGTCAGCCACGACCTAGGGTGTACAAGCAAACCCGCTACACGCAACACTGCTGTGTCTTATCCCTGACACACGGTACAGAAATAAATTTGGTTGATACACCTCCAACAACTACGGAGAGGAACACTCGGTGCTTAGCTGTGTGTTGCACACTAAATTACGTTTTTCAGTGAGTCAATTGGTTCTCAGTGAGAGAGGACGAGACGCGAGGCGGGTTGTGTGGTGGAGTTCCTGGTTCGCCCTTGCGATGAGAGTTCAGTGGCCTGCGCCAAGCGGCGGATACCGTTCCGCGCTTACCAAGGTCCCAACCACACAATCGGCTCAGTACGGCAGGACCGAGCCGCCCACCATTGAGGAGCAGACGGGCCCGTACGAGACATCATCGCGGGGGGTTTCGATGTTAACCTTCGTGGCCGAATGTATTGTCCAACTTGATGTAGGGTGTTCTCTTGAACCCAGGTGCAATGCGATTGCACCCCAGCCCAGCATGCACTCAAGTAAGACGGCTACGGCTGGAACCGAAAACGGTGGAACACATTTCCCCTGTGGTTCCCAAGTGTAAGTATTGTAAAAGAGGGGGGGGGGGGGCTAGCGGGTTCTCCTCATACGACCACAGCACATCTCATGGGTAGGCAATTTGTGCTACAGTCCTTCTCAGAGTATGAATGAGATAACTTGATTCCCCTATACCTTGGCGCCCGGTGGGATGACAGCGATGATTCGGAAGTATCTCACTTTTTATTCGACTCGGTGAAAAAATTGTATTTTTCTGTTTTGTTAGGCGCTGAAGTGTCGGGGACTAAACCATAAGCATCACAGTGCTATATACTTGATCGGCTCTGCTCCGTTCCCTCCGAGCAGGGTGGCCAGAGACGGTAGGCAACCCGGCAGCATCCGTGCGTTGCGGTACAGTATGCCAACGAGGGTGGGCGGCGCGAGTCAGTCACCTGGCGCGCTCCCTCGGCTGCCATTAGAACCATCTCGCAACGCGATGGTGGCGCACCTAGGCGGAGGCGGAGGCAGGCAGGCACGTACGAAGTACTCTCTGCTCTCTGCTCTGGCTCTGCCTCTGCTGCCGTGCCTTTCTCTGCCGTGAGTTTGCAGAAGGAAGATGTCAACATTTCAAATGAGTGTGTTTTGTGGGTTTTCACCTTCTAAGCGTACGTGAATGATCTAAGGGTGCTGCGCCCCGCGTAGTACACTGTTTCTTGGCTTTCCAAGAGACGTCAGTGCTGCCGTCGCGATGATTTTCACAGTAGTATTCGTGTTGTGCGACTCAGGTGAGGAGACATAACCTACTCAGAGGCCCCTCTTCTGCGTTCAATTTTGCATTTAGTTGCACTATTAATTTATTTGCGAGTGGCAAGTCTGTATTTGTGACTGCTGCATACTGTCGCTCACGTTTGTAGTACCAGATTATTTCGCACAGTCATTACTTCTGCCTATCCCGCTTTCCAATACTAGAAGGAGTGTTTTTGATTCTCGCATTTGCCTGCTCAAATGTCATGCTGTGCAGTATATGTTGACTGCTTTCACAAGGATTTTGCTTTGATTCCTTGTATGGATGTGACAATATTGCTTATTTTCCACCATTAAAATCCTTTATGAAATGTTACAGGTACCTGACGACCCCTCATTAGTGTCTATTCCGACATCTTTGCGTCACTGTCCTCAACAGGAGCACAAACCCAAAGCCCAAGAGACTGTGAGGTGCATGGCGGTATATTATTGGTCGCAGTGGTATGTATAATTATCACTTAATTATCATGTAGTATGAATGTCTTGGTAACTGATTTTTAATTGCTATTTACTATTGCAGGGGGACAGCAACGGCAAGCAGAGCAATTAGCAGACTGTCCACGGTCCAGTGTGGGCAGGGCACGCAGGAAAAAGATGCAGTCACAAATTTATTTGAAGATCTTCGGAGCCCCTATGTTGAGAACTTTGCTCGCATACCTTCAATGTGAAATTTTCCCTGTGGGCCTGCTGTACTCTTGAGCTGTTATCTGCCGTACACAGCGGGAAATAATTTTGTGTCATCTTGCTTATCAGCATTTCTTGTGATTGTAGTTACCGTGTTTTGTGCAGCTTTAAATGGCAAATGTAAGGGACTAGCCACAAGAGTTTTGTTGTGAACAAAGCCTCACACTACACAACAAAACTGCTAGAGTAATATGTTCAAAGTAATGAATTCTGCTTATATGGTTTTTGTTTGTCTCTAAATTCTTTCTTATCTGTGATTGTTTTTTTTTTAGTTTGTGAATCTTGGAGTTTATGCTTTTTCAAAGTGTTTTGCCGTGCAAGCTTATCTCTTAAACACCCAGGAAATTATTTTTTTTTTCACAATAATCCTGAGGTTTTTCTACAAACTGGAAATATGACAGTTCTACCTAGTCAGGTTGTGAGCATCTACTATGTGATGTACCTGTGTTGTTTTTGTGCCTCTGATGTCTTCAGAATGATCTTTGAAAAACAATACTAGAAACTTTCTATATTTTTGTAAATTAGGGAGTTGAGTGCATGTTCATCTCTTAAACTGCTCTGCTTACCTTGCTCTGTAAGAATAATTGTTTCAAGATATGCATTAGATTGTACTCTTATTGGTGTTACTGGCTGTATCATAAAGTGTCACATGAACAACATTGTTGGGAGATAGGTTTAATTCATTGTTAATGTCTTGTTTGGTTGATTGATGTTTGTAGTGTGATCCTTGAGAACTTATCATTATTCTGTTTTCATTTATTATATTTTAGTCGAAACAATTTCACACTAAAGATCTATTGTGGGGGGAAAATATACTGCTTTGTTTTTAGGTGTGGTACTTGGCTCTCTAACGGCCCACGTCAGTGTCTGTATGTTATGAATGGATCAAGATTTTCATGTGTCTAGAAGCTTGTGCTATTTGAGGTACTCTTTGCATCCCCGTTTAATCCTGACAACCCAAGTCTAAATACCATCTAAGTTGTGTTTTGTTTTTGTTTCTCAATAATCTTGAAATTTTTTTGAATAGTGTAAATTGAATCTTTCAGTCTACATAAATTAACTGTTAAATTGTCTTAAAAAAAAAAATTCTGATTGTTCGTAATCCAAGGATGTGTTCAATTCTTACAATCTCCAAGTGCATGCATAGTATTACTGCAACATAACAGCAACCGCAAGGGGTGTTTGTGATACAGAAGGTGGTTGTTCAAGAACAAATGTAACGTATTTAATAAATTCTTTTCCTATTTATATTTTTGGAATCAATCAAAAATTTGTGTTTAACATTTCTTTTTTAAATGCTCTGGACAAAATCCTTTTAATATAAGTAAAGTAGAACTATCATACCATTACAGCAAATAAGTGTAAAAAACATCATCATAGATACTTAATATCTGTCTTTGAACATTCAGTAACACATATTGCCATGATTTAAAAAGAAAATTATGTATCATGAGAGATCATATAAGTGGTAAGAATGGAAAACCCACCCAATTTAAACATATCTCTTAAAATACACTTAAACATGAAATAAGTAAACTGGCAGAGAAAATTATAAACACAAGAGCTATTGTGTACGCATGCATTTGAGGTATGTTACCCTCCAGAGGTTTTGTCAATGCTGAAGCTAGCACCCGTAAAAACAACAACAGATAGGTACTTTGTTAGTATGTGCGCAGTCGGAACCTGACTACACAGCCTAGTGGGCATGGCTCATTATTTTGAGCGGCTGCAGTGTTGCACTGGTTACAGAGAGCAATGTGCCCACAGTCCCCCAAGACCCAAGTGGCCTCATCTGCCCTGCATCTAAGGCACAGCCGTTGGGGTGCAGGCGCGGGCGCAGGCTGTGGTGGAGGTTGGGGTACAGGCTGTGGCTGGGGGCCTACTTGGGCAGCCTGGACAGCCTGAAGCTGCACCGGCAGCAGGACCTCTCGCGCTGGTGAAGGTGTCCTGCTCCGGTACTGCTCCATGTAGTTGTCCTCCTCAAGGACGAACATGGGATGGTCCCAATCGAGGGGCTGACGATGCTGCTCAGGCGGCTGGACAGCGGGCTGAGGCTCAGGCGGCTGGACAGCGGGCTGAGGCTCAGGCACGACAGCTGGGCCTGGTTCAGCCTGGGCAGCTGTAATCAATGCGATCAGAAAAGTGAGTTAACCATAACATTCTGTAGTATTGCATGATTTTAAAGCCCC